GAAGCAGGATGACGGCAAATGGCATCTGGTTGCCTTCACATCTCACGCTATGGACCCTGTCCAGCGTAATTATGAGATCTATGACAGAGAGATGCTTGCAATCATCGAAGTGCTGGAAGATTGGCACCACTACCTCAAGGGGTTGCCCAAACAGTTCAAGATCATGACTGATCATAAGAACCTTGAGTATTGGCACACATCATAGCACCTCACATGTCATCAAGTGCAATGGTTGCTGTTCCTTGCTCGCTTTGATTTCTGCATCATGCATAAAGCCGGAACATTAAATGGAAAGGCTGATGCCCTGTTGCACTGATCAGACCATCAGATCAGCAATGAGGATGACAACAGGTGCAAAACCTCGGCCCCCCTCGGCTGCAGAAAGGCTTTGAGGAGTGGAATGCTGAACAAGGGCTTCTGCTGTTCCGCAGGTGTGTATATGTCCCAAAGTATGTCACTGGCCTTCAAGCAGGCATAGCCATACAACCCTTCTTGAAAGCTGTCCTAAGCAGATTATGTTATGGATAGTGTGGAACAGCTCATAGTTGACTTTCAAGACCCACAGTATGCCTCATTAATCAATACTGTTGCAGCTATATCACACTTAGGTTTTAAGCCAGTGACGTACTGAGTGTTTGCACTGATCACAGACTGTAATCTGCTTTGTATTTGTCCGCAACTGGTCTGAACACACTGTAGTATACCTAATGCATGATTGTGTAAAGTTATATAACAGTGTAAGCTTTTTTGGCCACTCTATTACTGATACAATACCTGGCAACACTAGTATCATCTAGGGTAACTGCCTGTTGCAAAGCCTCCAGAGTGTCTGTGAGGGTAGAACTTGCTTGTAGTATGCTATATATACTCCTATGAATGGATTAAATAAGTACAAGTACCAGCCTGACATAGGTATGTGCCTCAATAACATGAAATAGTAAATAGTCATCTTCATCTGAAAAGGCAGGTTGTGTGCTACTTTTGGCAGGGTTTCCACACTTGTTTATGCCTCTCAATGATGAATTGGGTACTATATATCACTGTCCAGCTGGGAGATACATGCTAGACAACTGGAAAGAATTACTAGCAATGAATTCTGTTGTCCAGAGTGATCGCCACAAAAGCATTGATAAGACATGACCTCAAAGATCATTTCACTGTGTGGGAAGTACATAGGCAAATGACATGACTGTGGCTGCGTTTCAAAGCTCATATGTTGGGTATTCCAACGCAGCAACATTCATGTAGGTAGCTACTCCTGTTGCAGAGATATAGAGTGATCATTCTGAATCAAGCAATTCTATCAACACTTTTGTGGTGAACTGTATATAGTATCTGCTACACTTATATTCCTTGACGTTGAGTCTCATTATGTATTACAATGTTAATACTCAAGTCACAATAGCTTTATACAAGGCATGTGGCTGTTATACATTACTAGAATGGATATATGATAAATTGGCAGGGTTTTACTGACAGTTG